GATTATATGTTTCCAATCAAGAAGCTACAAAAGAATTTTTCATTATTACATAGGTAGCTAAATCTTCTTGACTGAAATATTCAGAAATGTATTAAGAAGCTTATTGCCGGTATTGTTTTATTTTCAACGGAAAGAAAGGAATCAGTGTCTCGATGAATTAGCTAATAGACTATTAAAAGACGTTATTAATTGTTTTAATGAATCATGATAAATGTAAATAGTACTATTAAAATTTCATTATTCATATATATATATATTCGTCTTTTCGCATTGTATAGAATAGTTATCAAATATGAATATAATTATCTTACACTAGTAAAAGTCTCATCAAAACTAAACGGAAAAGATATTGATCATGTCTTTGTTGAAAATCCTGTGAGCATACCTATAAAAATATTTTTTTGAATATGAAGAAAGTTTTTTAAGGTGACATCAATATTATCTTTCGCTTTATATATTTACTGTTAATTTCAGAAATGATTTAACCAATGAAAGAATTACATGAAATTTTCGAAAAATAGAAATACGCAACACCTTTTGAAAATTTTATTTAACGTTTGATCTATCGCAATATCGAATCAGCTTCCCATAGCTTTCTATTAAAAAAAAAGAAAGAAAATTTCGGCCGATGGGTGGGCCTCGATTCAGTTATTGAGACCTAATCTTAATCTATAATAACATTTTCATTATTGCTTTGTCTTTTTTTTTACTTAGCTTAATGATTTCGATTTATAAAGCTAACCTGTTTTCCTAGAAGAACTAAATCCACATTTTCTTTTTTAGCAATTGCAGCAATTAATTTTGAAACAGCTAATGGTTGTAACATTTCATAGTCTTTGCCAGTAATTTCAACATGTATAGCTCGATCAGCACCTAATGCTAAAGCTGTTCGAAGTGTTTCCTTGAAAAAAAGAAATTATGTTTTTTTTTGTTTTCTCATAAAAGAAAATCCCATGTAGTCATACTTGACATTGAGTAGGTCCACATGAAACAGCAATAACTTCTTGTGCAATTTTTTTTTCTTTTAATCGTATGGCTTCTTCAACAGCTATTTCATCAAATGGATTCATTGAATGTTTAACACCGTCTGTAACAACTCCTGTTTTATCCGATTTAACTTGTATTTTAACAGCATAATCAATAGCACGTTTGACACCAACTAAAATACGTATTGCCATCTGAAAAAACAGAACATAACAATTTTATTTTCTTTCAATAGGAAGAAACAAGTTTTCCTATAATTTTTGTTTTTTTTTTGTATCAAGATTTAACAAAACAAAAAAAAGAAAAACAAAATTATTCCGAATCATCATCATCATCATCATCGTCATCGTCATCATCAGATGGTGCAGCCGGTGTTTGAAATATTTCATCAGTTTTATCATATGGAAAACTTTCTTCTGGTTTCTTTTGTTCATAAGATAATTTTTGATAGATACGTTGTTTATATTTTTGTGAAGCTTGTTCTTTTGCAACATGACGTTTTAAATTTGGTGCTACATATAATGGATTTTCATATATAAGCATACCAGAAAAACTTTTTTCAAAGATACAATGTAAATTAAGAACAAATCTAAAAAAAAGGTTTTTTTTTTCAATTAAATTTTCTTTTTAAATAAAACTATTTACCGTGGACCAATTTCAGCTAATGAACCATTTTCTTCAATAATTTGATAATTTCTTAACCAAATTTTATTGTCAATTATTGTAAATGTTAATACATGATCAATAAATGGTTGTGATTTAGGATGTGATTTAGGTGTACCAAATATTTGTGTTAATAATTCTTTAATTAATTTCCAATGTGGTTCATCATCAAATTTTGTATCAAATGATAATAATGGTCTTGAACTACGTAAACAATTACCAGTTAATTTTAATTCTTCCATTGTATGTAAATTTTCAACAAGAAATTTAACTGTTGGTCCATCAGGTACAGATGCCATCCATAAATAAAGATCACGTTTTTTTTTCATATCAAAAAATAATACTTTATTACAGTTACGTAACTCAGCTATTTCGTTTAGAACAGAAAAATTTTTACGTAATTCAGCTTTTGGTTCACTTTTTGAATGTGCCATTATTGAACGTAAATTTTTCATAACATGTCGTCCTAAATATGATATACCACGTGATGAAAATATTAGAACACGTTGTTTATTAATCCATGATGTTTTCATTGATTGAATTTTATCGGATTCACGTGTTGATGGTAAACGTTGAACTAATGATGATGTTGATATTGGTGCTGGACCTAATCGATGAAGATTAAGAGATTTATCATTATTATCTTCATCAATTTGTTCTTGCCAACGAGATTTTTTAAATTTTTTTTCTGATCGATTTGGTGATGCAGATGTTGTTGATTTACGTTTTTTTGTTTTAGTCATAATGATAGATAACACAAAAAAAAACAAGAATCTAAAAGAAATTATTGAAAAGATGAACTTGAAGAATTTGTCTACTTTTCCTAGAAAACAAATAAATAAATAACAACGTATCAATTGTTATATTATATTCGTAGGTCGTTCAAATATTCCAATCAGATCTTATTGATTTGACTTCATCATCGGTAAAGTTGAAATTGGATAGATGGCGCTTGTCGATTGACATTTAGAGAACGTCAGTTTAATCTCGGATCCGACCCAACGAGTTATATTCGAAAAGTAAAAGCCGACTATAATTTTATTATTATAAGATTATTGTCAAGAGTGTTTGAGAAAATTATAGGGTGTGGTGTTATTAATAGAATAGAAATAATCAATAAAAAGTATCTCGAGCATCACCACACTGATCATCAGACTCAACCTCTACTACCGATCTTTGAGCCTCGTCCACTAGCTAGATTTTCAAAAGATGTATCTTTTTTTCTTCAAAAATCTTGTCAGAGAATACTTGAGCATTCAAAGTCAAAAAAAACCTGGCTTCACCACTGATTTTTTTTTGTTGACTATTTAGAGGTACGGTTCGAGTTCGGGTACAAAAATTGTGAGACCTGACAGATCCTATTGACGTTATTTCTTGTTACTAGATTTACAGTAATTAAATTCAAATAGTAATCTAAGTGAAAGGCAATCATACTTGAAACCTTACCCACTAGTTTGCTGGCTCTTTTATTAATTTGTTAGGGTATTAGAGCTAGTTTTTTGTTTTTAAATATGCCTCACAGATAGTTGAACAATCGACAATTTAAAAAATGTTTGAAAGTTCTGAAACAACTTCATTCATTGAATTTGTTTCGGTTGTTTAGGGAAATTCAATGAGAAGAATGAGTCGTGTATGCATTTTATTTACATATTTTGCCTCAATATCTCTTATTAATATTAATTATGACGAAGGAATATCTTGAATGAGGCATATATAGTGTGATAAACATAAGTTTAGAGCAACGGCATTTTTGAGTTTTCTTCTTAATAGTAATAACTAGGAAGATTTCTGAAAAAACGTTTGAGAATCTAAAAGGTCTAATAAAGTCATGTAGTTGAAGATATATGAAAAACTAAGACCTTCCAAAACTACTTTTCTGATATTCATTTCAAGGTTTTTTGGAAATAGTTTTATTTGATAGAGCAAAATCAGATGTCTTGCCTCTCTTCATGAGTGTCCTTCATCGAACTACATTCAATTAATGGAAGACTCCAAAGCGTTAAGCACGACATAAGCATTAGAATTTTTCATAAAAATAAAAGAATCATGTTTCTTGATTCTTCTCTTAATTAGATGCCCTTCGACGAAAGAAGATCATGAAGAAAAACGAGACATCTTATTTTGCTCTATCAAGAAAAATCATTTACACAAAAGCTTTAGATGAATGTGAGAAAACTTATTTTGATAAGTCTTGGTTTTTCAGAAATCCTCAGCTACACAGTTTTATTAGACTTTTTTAAGTTCATAAATACTAATAGAGTATCCTTTTAGGTACTCAAATATTTTTTTCAGATTCTTCTTAGTTACTACTATCAAGAAGAAAACTCAAAACTACAACTGCTCTAAGCTTTTGTCCATCACTATACGTTCCTTCACATTGATTCCGTTTACATTTGTCTTTAAAAACTCGTAGCTAATATTCAATTCTCGACTTAATCGTTCTATCAATATATAAGACGTGCGTGTGTGGATGTGAATATATAGAAGATCAATCAACACACATATCGTTACGTTCCTCGTCCGTGCAAACACTCACATCCATTTAAATCCTTCAATTATTGAGTTTCATCCTAACGAATATGCAGATGGTAATCCTACTGGTTTGAAATTCGATATCATATTTTAGAGAATATGTCAAGACTAAAAAAACATACTCTTAAGTAGCCATTTTTTTACATGATGTTTTGTGTACTATTACTCATATTTCTTTCAATGAAGTCAATGCCAGATGATTATTCAATAAACAAAATATCTTATTGAAGTCTATTTAAAACTCAGTCAGAAATGAATTCGAAAAGTTTCTCATAGTACGAATTTTTACCATGTAAGAAAGGTTCAATCCGAAGTAATTTCGTCGCGAAAAAATAGAATACTGAGAAAATCATCTGTATTTGTATACATACAATTTGGTAGTTTATAATACATATCCTCGAAATATTGTATAGAAAAGATGTTACTCAATAAATTAAATACAAGACTCAAGTTTCTATAGATGGCAGCACCACACAATTCATTCGCTATAAATAAAAGAAAGAATTTTTAATTGCATTGAAACATCAATAATTTCTTTAATCAAATAAATAACTATCATCTAAATAAAATTAAGCAGTAAAACCTAATCATTTAAAATATCATTTAACCAATCTCATATTACTAACGAACGAATTACATATTGATGCCGATTGCATTGCATACTTCAATCACATCACAAGGTATTCAATGATTAATTGTTTTTTTTTCCGTATTATTTAAGTTTTACTTTTTTTTAATGTTAGTGTATGTAAGAAAAGAAACATAGTACAATATGCATAAAAATGAAAACATTTAATAAGTGTCTGTTTTTTTTTATAGGTTCATTTTGTTTTGCGTCGATTCAAAGCATAACTGGTACTTTTACTACGGCGACGAACTGGAGTAATAGTAGTGCTCGGAAAGCGAAATATGTTGTGTTTTTCCTTGTTATTTTCATCATCTTGACGCACATCTATAACGATACTATGTTTTCGTTCGATTGATGGTAATGGTACATTAGATGAATTTAGACGAATATTTTTTAATTCAGATAGAATATTATCAGTTGACTTTGATAATTGTTTAGCTTTTTCATTATTAGCTTTAGTTTTATAGAATTTTGGTGATAATTTAGGTGTTATATCATTTGATTTTGTAGGACTCTCTATGATAGGTGAAAAAACAGGTGAAAAATGTAATGATGGTGTTCGTTGATCTTTTCCTAACAATGAACTACGTCGGAATGCTATAAAATTAGCTGGAGTAGAAAAACTGGTTTTCATAGTTCGAAAATTTGAAGTTGAAACAGGTTTTTCAGAAATTCCATTGATTATCTAAAATTAAATAAGTTAATTAATTGTTTATTTTTTCTTTTAAGTATTAAAATTCAACAAACCTCATAATTGTTAATATTGGGTCTTTGATAAGAAAGAAATTGTCGTTCTAATTGACGTAATGTCAATGATGGATGTCGTGAAAAAATATATCTAATCGGTGGTCGAGAATTACCGATTGATTTTTGTTGATCAGAATCATGATTGTTATAAATCTTGTGTTCTCGTTCAGATGCAGCTCGTCGAAAATCTAAACTATTACAATCACCACGTTGTTTTTTTCGATAACAATCTATTTAAACGAGAAAAACATAACAATAAAAGAAATAATTTCCTATGAAATTGTTTTTTTTTATTCAACAAACTTGAACAATAAATATCATTGCCCTCTTCATTAAGTGATGATTCAGTTAGACTTCGTTTACAAATTCGACAACGAAAACATCGATTATGATAGATCTAAATGAAATTATATAATTTTTATTTTTACCTTTTTAAATTAACTCACATTATTAGTTGTTTTTTTCTTTTCGACAGCATAGACAAGTGCTCCACACGCATAACATTTTGTATTTGTAGAAACGAATCGTTCAATTGCAGTTTCCATACCAGTTTCTAAATTATTATAAAGAAAAAGAATATTAAACAAATACAGAATTATATGAGACATAGAACAAAATGTATGTTGAAGGTATACTAAGCGTTATTACATATTGAACATAAATGAAGGAAGTAGAATTTGTGTATTTAATATACAAAGAAAAAAGATGCTTGAAAAGAACCTTTTAAATTTTTATTTTATGATGAAGACTGAATAAATTGAAATATATATATACATAAATAAGAAAGACTAAGAGAAAACATAAAAGAGTGCAAACTGAATTCAATTTACATTGACCCTTTAGATGCCTATCAATTTTCCATGAGTAACAGATTTCTTTTCTTTTGAATAGTATAATACTCAACTTTTTGGCCATGGATTGTTCATTAACACGACACTTCCATTCATTGTTGTTGAACTAGCCATAGATAGACGTGTCTTGTACAGGTATTGATAGAAATGTAAAGGAAAACAGTGTTGTTTGTGACAGAATATACGTTTTTTTAAATATATGTCCAACTACCTACTTCACCTTTGAGTATTGATTATTACTATCCCGCAAAACAAAAATTGTGATATTTTTGTATTGTAATAAAATTCGAAAAAAGAATACTATACGTTTATAAATACCGGTAACAGATAATAAGCATAGATCCTATCATTTTTCTAAATGAATGATTATACGCACTTATGTTAATTTTGTTTTTCTTTTGATTGACTCTTATCATACACGTTGATCATTTTTGGAATAGGAGACAAAATATATTTCATGATGTATAGTATGATAGCAACAAAAATAAATATTATTATACATTACGGGAAAATGTTACTCATACGTTCTATTATTCATTGAGTGTAGCATAAAAATACTTTTTTGATGAAAATTATGATAAAATATCTGTTTTAATGACATTAATAATGACCTTCGAATTAGAAGTTATTTTAGTATGATTAATATTGATAGCAAATAATTAGGAAAACTATTTTTTTAAATTTCAACTAGATCAAATATTTGTATACGTACTTTTTCATAATATTTAAAAAAAAAATTTTATTTTTTACTTATTGATTTTATTTTAGATCTTATCATTAATAAAATAGTACATAATGTTTTTTCGTTTTTGTATTTTTGTTTATTTGGCATTGATTACTGTTAATAGCCGTATACTTAAACCAAAACGATCATTACTGTCATTAAATCTTGTCAATGAAATTAATTCAGCACAAACAACATGGAAAGCAAAACCATCAAAATTTATGTCATGGTCACAAGAATCAATTGAACGTTTAATGGGTGTTCATCCAGAATATTTTGAACATCATAAAGAACTTGAAATACTTGAACATGATGTACCAAATGATTTACCAGAAAATTTTGATGCACGTGAACAATGGCCAAATTGTCCAACACTTAAAGAAGTACGCGATCAAGGAAGGTCTGTTATAGGAACTAGTATAAAGAAAAAAAAAAAGAAATAATTATTTTAATCGTTTGTTTTTAGTTGCGGCAGTTGCTGGGCTTTTGGCGCTGTTGAAGCTATGTCTGATCGTATTTGTATTGCTTCAAATGGTGCTCAAAATGCACATATCTCAGCTGAAGATCTTGTTTGTATGTTATCTATAATAATTTATCTTAATAATGTTATTTCATTTATATATTTGTTTTTCTTAATTTTAGCATGCTGTAAAATATGTGGTTTTGGTTGTAATGGTGGTTTTCCAGAAGGTGCTTGGTCATATTTTAAAAAAACAGGTTTAGTAACTGGAGGTAATTATAATTCGCAAGAAGGATGTCGACCATATACGATTGAAGCATGTGATCATCAGTAAGTTTTTTGTTTTTTTCTTATTATTTATAATTTTTCTTCGTCTTCTTTTGCTTCTAGTGTTAATAAAACTTTACCACCTGTAAGTCATAAGTAATTTGTTTTTTTAGAAAATTGTTGTTGTTTTATATTAAATAGTGTCAAGGTGAAGGTAAAACACCTAGTTGTTCTAAAAAATGTATCGATAGTTATTCGATTCCATACAATCAAGACAAACATTTTGGTGCTAGTGTTTATTCAATTCGATCAGATGAAAAACAAATTCAAACTGAAATCTACAATAATGGACCTGTAGAAGGTGCTTTCACTGTCTATGCAGATTTTCTTTTATACAGTTCAGGTGTTTATCAACACACATCAGGATCAAGTCTTGGTGGTCATGGTTTGTATTTTTTTTCCTCATAGAATTTTTTCTTCAATGCTGATTACGTTTTTTTCTTCTACAGCCATAAAAATTCTTGGTTGGGGTGTAGAAAATTCGGTACCATACTGGCTTGTCGCCAACTGTAAGCTACTTTCATTTTTCTCCAAATTGTAACTATGATGATAAATGTTGGTGTTTTTTAGCATGGAATCAAGATTGGGGTGATAATGGTTTCTTCAAAATCCTTCGTGGTAAAGATGAATGTGGTATTGAAGGTGGTATTGTTGCTGGTGCACCAAAACTCAATTAAATAAACAAGCGATCTGAACATTTTTCTTATGTTTTTTTTTCTCTTATTGAAAAACTCTCGAGACGATTTGATCCACTAGATAATCCATAATTATTATTTGAATATCAAAAAAGACATCATTATTATTTACACATATAAATATGCAAATCTATTTTGTCTTCTAAAGATTTTCTGTGTTTTTTTTTCTTTTCCTAATGTTATTTTCATTATCTTATTCTAGCTTAAATATGAGTTATTGCTGTGAAAGTTCTGCTTGTATAAAAAGTTTTCATATAACTACAACAGAAACAAAAGAAAATCTTATAGATTGTATGATTTTATCGTTCATCTTTTGAATGGAGCTACCTCTGATACATCTCCAGTGACGCCTTCAATCAACTCGTCTTTCCTTAATTATTTTCACATATTCGTCCCCACCCTAAATTCATCTCTCGGCTAAATTAGCGCTTAATTTTCATATACATGCTTTACTAATGTCGTTTTATTGAGTATGAAAAACAATTTTTATCATAATATCAAAAACTAAATATCGATACTTTTTCTTTTACAAGCATAGAAAAGAACAACAAACTATACAATTTCGAAGAGAAAAATTTTAGTTAATGTGGAAAGGCAAGCCATTATTTGACATAAGTAGTCTTAACAGTTTCACTGCATTTGACGGCTAAATCTATCTTACTAATTTATCCATCAGAGATTTGTTTGAGCAAATCTTCGAGAAGCAAGTCAACAACATCATTTCGTTTTCTTCTCTTGTAAAGTTGAATTTGAATGTCTTCTGTATGATGATGCGTATGGGTGTGAGTTATTTATATAGACAAAGACAAAAACATGAAAATTCAACTGTTAAATAAAGTGATGACGAATAGGGAACAAATCATCCGCGAAAGGTTCTTGATTGGAGATTAATTCAAAATAAATTATTTAGGACTGCTCTACGATGGAGACAAATCGGAGTTAAACCTCTGAATGTTTGGAGAAATATCAAATCGATTAACTGTATAAATGAATCAAAGTTCAGCATTGATTAAACGTGCAATGAAGAACAAACAAAAATAATCATTCAATGTAACAAAACGTAGAAATAGATGATGAGATAAAAGAAAGGAGTATAAAAGCAAATTTAACGAGATACAAATTGACTTACATAAGCTTAATCGATAAAAATTCAAATTTATTCAGTAGGGATTTTGATAACATTCTACTAAATATGATCAAGATGGTCCTGGTCTCAGTGGAACTGGAACTGAGGACAAACTATTTTTTTGATCGAAACTCACTAAAAACAATTGGTCCATCCTTCAGTATTTATCGAAAAATTGAATAACGATATTTCAATTTGAAATTTCGTCCATAAACAGGTTGAACGATCAAGAGACTATCATGAAAGTTTCAGCTTAATTGAATGTTTATTTGCTTTTCCGGACAAGGAGTCACACGCATGTGGACATCTGAACGCTTATTACAATTTATTTCTCGATGTCTAAGCATTTTTTGCGACATTTTCAAGTTACATTGATAATGATCAGCATTTTCAGAAGAACAACTTCTCAGAATGCTGTGACGCATTATTTACGAATAAATCACGTATATCAGTCGTTTAATACAAGAAAAATGGTGTATTTCAGTAAATAGGCTTTTTCGACACAAATTTTGAAAATCAGATGTTTCACGGAGAGAAAGAAGTTCGCAAAAACCAAACATTTTCAAAGAGAGAAGAGAAAGGAAGAATAAAAATATGATTTTTACTTTGATGATCTTTATAGATGACTCTTTAATAATTTAATGTATCTATTGTTTAGAGGAAAACTCTTTCTTTATATATATTTATACACAATATTGTGTATTTTTGTTAAAAAACAAACAAATTATTTCAACATAGAATTATTAAATAATTTATTTAAACAATCAAATTATTTGTAGAAAAGATTTCTATTATTTTTGAATAGAAAACGATCATATCAGATAATTGATTATCGTTTTTGCGTAAAAAACAAAAAAAAAGATTATTTATTCTTATAAGACACGCAACGGAAGATTTCTTATTTTCTGTTTTTTTGTTTGCATATCAAAATCAAATAATTATATGCGTTCGATACAAACTGAAGAAAAAAAAAACCAAAACGTAAACCACAAAACAAAGGTTTAATTAATGAGATTACAGGTATAAGTGAGACAAAAATATAGAAAAGAAAGACATAGAAAAATAGAATTATGGCTGTTATGATAAATTATGTTTATGATATTGACACTGGCTCAATTATTTTCGTTGTTACTGAATGTTCTTTTGATGATGATAAAATTTTATTATCTGATACCGAATGATTTTTATCATTGGTTGTTACAGATAATGGTGTTAAATATTTCCAATGATTATAAGGAGATTCAATTGTTGAACCAATACCACTTGATGAATGTGATGATGAACCTGTACTTGATGGTGCTGAATGTTTAAAATTTTCATTATTATCATTTGTTTGTTGATGAGGAATTGGATTAATTAATGGACGTGTTGACTCATTTGATGAATGTGTACAATAATGTCCACCACTGCCGGTACAACCGGCTGACGATGATGAAAAACTTCGATCACATAAATCATTTTGTTGATCATCTATAGAAAAATAAGAATTTCTTTTTTTTTTTTCTTTTTAATTAAATAAAACAAATACATACTATCATTAACAATTGGTGTTGTTATAAGTTTAGATTTTTGATGTCGTTGACATGTTGCATGATGATGATGTAAATGATGAAATTGTATTCCATTTGTTTGTGATGATAAAACAATACCATTAACTTTTTTATTTGTTAAATTATCTTTATTATTTAAAGAAGTTTTTAAAGGAAATGTATCCGATGGATAATTTATTATATGATGATGAATTGGACATGCTGAAACATTCGAACGTTCACTTGTATAACCAAATAAAGCTAGAAATTAACAATTTAAGTACATTCTAATTATAATTCCAGAGTAATAACGAAATTGTTCCCTAGAATTCGTTACTAGAGATGTGTAGGATCGGAGCCCGGACTATGAGAATCAAGTTGTCCCAACCGAAATTTAAGATTGTAGCTAAATATTCTATAGTTTTAAACGGAATATAATTCAAAAGAGATGACTCAAAATAATTGATGTGTCGACTAAATAAATCGAAACTTGAGTATCTATGAATTGTCGTAGATGTAATACAAATAAATTCTGGAATAATTTCCTCAAAAATCAGAACTGGGACTCGAACAACTAAAATCACTGACACCCAAACTGATGAAAGATAGTTACCGGAACTCAAAAACTTCGGTTCGGCACATTTCTATTTGTCACTATATTCATCCTAACACAATTTTGGAGAAAAAAAACCTTTTTTTTTTTGCTCTCATAACATACTTGGTTGATTAAGTGTACACGCATGCTCTTCATATTGACTGTTTGTAGTAAATGGTGTTAATGTATGATAAAAATTTTCTTGTGCATCAGTTGTATTTTCATTTTCCAAACGATTCATTGGATTTGTATTTAAACGCATAGTACCATTGTCAGTTGTTGTTATTCCTGTTGAACTATGTGGTAAAGGATTTTGTCCATTCCATAGAATAGTTTGTTTTTTATTTGTTGGATAAGTAAATGGTATTAATTTTCCATCAACAGCTACAACACCATGTTGTAAACAAGGTGTTGTTGCATAATCAGGATTTAAACTTTTATGTAATCCATCACAATAATATTCGGAGCCATTTACAGATTTAACATGAGCTTAAAAAAAAGGAAAATTTATTATTAGTTTATTTTAAATGATTTTCTTTTCTAAGATATCGATTATTTGAAAAAATCGTTTTTTTTTTCGATACAATAGTAAAACACCATAAACATAGGTTCATATTCAAAGATTTTTACTCAATACTTAAAACGAATTTCGATCTTAGAAGATTTCTATAGGTAAGATTATTCGAGAAAATAATAGTGCGAAGTGAATAAAATGTTTATTTCATCCGAAACCGAAACTTCGAAAGTCAAAAATCTTTAAATACAATTTCATATTTATGATATTTGACTATCATATCGAACAAATCGATTTTCTCAATAATAAAGTAATATTTTTTAAAAGTATAGATAATTTTTGGTAACTCGATAAAACCTATTCAAGCATGACCAAAAAGAAAAGGTTATGCCAACTGTCAACATTTGATATAAAACATACCGATAAATTTTTTTCGTTGTAAAATTCTTAATATACACATAACAATAAGTATTATGATTAAAATTAATAAAATTCCAGCTATAATACCAATAGTTAAATAAAGAATATCCGAATTTTTATGTCCTGATGTTGAATTTAATATCGGTGTTGCTAAATCATGTAAAATACGTGTTGGATTTTGTATTTTACTAATATTTTCAAGAATTTCATCAAGATTTTTTAAAGAACTTTTTTGATAAATTTGCGAACGACGTTGAGTTGAAACTAAAAACAAAAAAAAGAAGAAACAATTAACTTACAAAAAAAAACATTCTTTTTGAATTTGAATTTAATTTACATGATGGTAATGATATTTCAATTGAATTACTCATTGGACTTAAACCACGATTTGAATATGTAGCCATACGTATTTCATATTTATCATTTAATTCAATTGATGATATTGTAAATGTATCTGTTATTGGATAAACTAAATTTGGTATTGTTATTGTTGTATAATTATCATTTGAATTTACTGAACGATAATATATAATATAACCATCAATAACATCACTAAATGAATCATTAACTTTCCATTTTAAACTTATTTTTCCGTCTGTTGTTATCCATGCATCAGTTATTTGTGGTATAGGTAAATAAAATTGATTTAAAAATTTTAATGCAAATCGTTTTGGTAAACTTGATGTTAATTGTTTACCATTAGAATCAAAAGCCATAAGACGAAATTTATATGTTTGATCATATTCAAGATTTGATATAATACCATGTGTTATTGTATTATTATAGATAGTTTCATCAATTATCCATGTTACTTTAGGTGTATTTAATCGATATTGAATTTGAATATATAATTCAATTAATTCACTTGTTTTCCAATATAATTCAATGGCATTATTATTTACTTGCTTTATATCAAGAATTTCAAGTTTTAATTCTAAATGAAAATATGTAAGAATAAAAAAAAGAGAAGCATGGTAAGATTTTATTTGTTTTACCTCCACGAGTTGATGATGGAAGAGTTTTTTTTTCTAAAAAAAAAACAAAAAAGTAATTTTCTTTTATCTGTTTATTTATTTATCTTTTTTTCTTTAAATCTAACAAACACAAAACAAAAACTGACAAAACTAACCAGGAACATTCAATCCCAAACCTTGTATATGAACATAGCATTTAGCTGTATTTGTACTGAAACCAATTTTTGACGCAACACATTCATATATTCCACTATCAGATTTTTGTGCTGATACAATACGTAAACCACCGGATGGAAGCATTTCATAACGACGCATTAAATTTAAATTAATCATTTCATTATTATGTAACCATTGAACAGTCGAACCTGTTTGTGTTAAACAATGTAATTGAATTGTTTCACCTTCATAAACTGTTATATTATTTGGTCCAATAACAATTAAAGATTTTTTTGATGAACTATCTTGATCGAGTTTTTCTTAAGAAAAACAAAGAAATTAAATTTAAAAAAAAATTGAGAGGTATTTTCTAAAATTATCTTTTTACCTTCTGGCTTTATACTGTTCGGAAAAATAAGAACAGTACTTGCTTGAGTAATACCATATGGATTTCGACCAATACATTGATAAATACCTTCTTTAGGTTGATTAAGAGATAAAATACCACCTAAAACAAAATAAATAGTTTACTTTAAAGAGTTCAAAAGTCTTATGATATATTCCATGAATAGTATAAATAGTAGATCTTCAAAATCAATGAAGTTTACTATCTTTCACCCTAGCTCTTGATTACACATAAACAAGATAATTCCAAGAAAAACAAAATCAAATAATTTTCTTACTCGAGCCGGATCAATTTTTTTGACTCGAAACCAACCGGAAACAAGCGAGACATAAGTGGTTCGAAGTACAAGTGAAGTAATACTGAAGTATAATGAAGTGTGAATAAATTACAGTGAAGTACCGTACTTCACGTGTACTTCACTTGTACTTCAGAGTACTTAAGTTGTACTTAAGTACTCCTTGCCCGAAGTCGGGACCAAATTTTCTTTTTCACCGGAACTAGGATCAAAAACGACTGATCTTGTTCGTGTCTACTCTTAATTTTATGTAAGATAATTATGAGTTTCCGTTTGTTTAACCTTCCGTTGAATGAAACTTATATATACCTGTAACAGGCGATCCATTAATTGTTATTTCTTCTCCATTATATAACCAACTAATTATGGGTTCAGGTCGACCACGAAACGTACATTTAATTGATACACTTTCTCCACGATTTATTCGAATAACTGAATCTGGACGTTGAATAATTTTTGGTGGTTCTTAAGAAGAAAATAAAATGCTTATTGATGCTTTCTAAATTGAATTGTTTTAATATATTTACCTAAAACTTCTAATAAAGCAGTATAAGCAATATCTGATTGACCATTTGAACTTGATGCTCGACATATATATGTACCACGATCATCCAAATGTATATCATATAAATGTAATGTACCGTGTAAAACTTCATTTCGTTTTTCAGGTAATATATCACCATATTTTTCCCATTCAACAATTGGTTTTGGCCAACCAGCAATAACACATTCAATGGAAAAATTATTTCCAACAAGAACTCTATTAATTATTTTAAATATTAAAATTTGAAAAAAAAAGAACTTCTTTCTAAGATGAATAAAAAAATTTACCTTGAAGCAACAGGTGGTTTATATACAGTTGTCAATGGTATACGATCTTGATTATTTAATGGTTTATTAAAAATTTGTAAAATTGTTGTTTGACTATTATTTACAATTTGTCCAGTTAATGGATTTTTAGCTGAACATTGATATTTTCCTGCATCGGATTGTTTTATATCGGTAATATGTAAATTTCCACTAGGTAAAAATTTGTATCGATCTAAAGAAACAAAATGAAAAATAAGTTTTTTTGTTAACTTTCTTAATCAATCATATTTTATTATACTTGATTTCGATTCAATATCTAACGGTTTATTATCTAATGTAAAAATTGGTATTGGTCTTGGATTACCATTTGGTAATTCACATGGTATAACAGCAATATTATCTTCAGTTAAATTAAGAATATTATTTTCATTAGTTAACGTTTTAAAAGGATCCAATGCTAAAAAAGAAAACGATACGATTTATCTTAATTGAATCAATTAATTCTTTCAATTGACAAACATCATATTCACAATTGAACAGATGGATTATTTAAAGAAAATCTATATTCATGAATTTTCCACATGTTTAACATTTTCGTTGTCATTTAAGATAAATTCAATTGTCGAATTTCAACTCATCTCTTTTTTCTATCAAGCTGAGAGCAAAGAGAAAATGGACACTTGACCCTTTTTGTCTTTCATAAAAAAAAAGAAAAACATCTGTATGTTCACAATTAACTAGTTCATCTTTGACTGAGTACACTAGTGATGATGTTCATCAATGTTTCATCTCACATTTTGATTAGCTATTGAACAAATAGAATAAGGCGTGTGCATCCCTTTCCATGGCTATTGCCTCCTGCAGTGAATATATGACGCCCATATACAACTCGGATGTTTATAAACGAGAGGCGCCGGTCATCATCAATATATGCGAACCTCAATTTCCGAGAAAAAGATAGATGGAAGAAACAAAAAAAAAAAACCTTTCCTTCTTGTGCTAAGTGAATTACGGCTAAAATAATATCCGGCTTAATATGTGCATGACCGATGATTGTATGTCGGAAAAGAAAAACGAGAGAGAAATCCTTTCTACTACTTGAAGAAACATGGACAAGAGTCGGTCATTATTCATTTCAGATTTTTTACATTGTTCATTAAATAACAAACGATAGAAACAAAGAAACAACATTTATCATTTTTTATGTCGTAATAGTTCTGTCTAAGAGAGAATGATGATTGTATAGATATTCAATCAACAACACAATCAAACAACTTATGTTGCCGACATATTAGAAAATTAGCTTGATGATATTAGTAATGAACAGACAGTCGAACGATTCATATTAAAGCATAAATCTTGTTTTTTTTTTCGATAATTATAGAGACTGATCGACTATTTAGTTGTCTACATAGTCTTTGTCTTTTCCTCCGCCTATTTCTTTTAAACATAAAGAGAATATATATGTATAAATGCGGTGAGAAGACATACATATACATATATCTATGAGTGTATATATATATATAAAATTAATGATCATCATTGAAGATAGAATCGAACCTCCCCCGACTGGTCACTTATCTTTTCTCTGTGCCGTTCCATCATTTTGATCGAGATTGCCTACGGGTGATCTTGACCTTTTTTCGTCTTTTTTTTTTGTGCAATGATTCTATCAAGACAAAACAATGATGACAGAACTTTTTACTCATGGGAAATCCTCTTTCTTCTTCTGGTCATAGTCATCCCTCAAGCTAAATATATATATGTATATAAGGGTGACATTTTACTAGTAGATTGTTGATACATAACCTATCTGTTTAACATATATTATTCACAAGCGAAAAAAAAAAAAGAGAGGATAGAGACGATGATCTATTGTGTATGCAATACAAATCAAGAATGAACTTCCGATTGTATGAACAATAAGTTGCGTAAGATAAAGCAATAAAAATCATCAAACTAGCAATGTTCTAATTGCAAGAAAAAGAAAAAAGACATGTGCTTATATTCTCAACATTGACTTGTTTACACATTCATACATCATATATTGAGATTTCTTATTCATTTATTCACTTTCACTTAAATAGAGTAAGAGTCTATTTAGACAATTCTTCATGTTCTTGATTATCTTGATAATTCACTGCAAGGAAACAATCCAAGAACATCTCCAAGGCAAAGCAAAACAAAAAACTTTTTCCTTCGTCTTTTTTTCTTCTGTTTGTTTAACAATTTTCTATGTATATTCATGTGTATCTAGTGCTCGAAAAAAGCAAATAGAGAATTCTTCGAACGGATTGAATCGCCTACGATTATATACTTGACAGCATCAAAGCATACAACATACATTCAAGCTATTTGATATTAATAATCAAACTATAAGTTTGCCATTTCTACCGGACAGGTCATTGACCGTCGTCTCTTTTGTTTCATCGTTTTTAGTATGCATATATATATATAGACGATCGGACAACAATATATATTATAAAGACGGAGGCAATGGAATCATATTAAATATAGTAGCCGATACTACTACCGCTTTAACCGCAGGAACGATAGGCTTTTGTTTTGTTTTTAAAAGAGTCATGAAAGATGCTAGTGGCTAGTAATTTAATCGTTGACCATTATATTATATTCAATGAAGACCCAATAAAATAATAATTAGAGAAAAGACTCATATATATTTCTTATGAAGATTTAATGAACCATTTAAATTTATATCAAAAAACGATAAGAAAAGACCAATAGTCTATTCATTTGGGTACCATTTGTCTGGATACTACTAAGACTTTTCGATTGAGACAATTAAGCAAGGCGGCAATGAGAACAAAAAGAAAGACATCACCTTCGTATCTTTTAATGAGCTATTGTGACAGGTCTCATTTAAACATATGTGTCTGTACACACATGCATACATCTTGACAGTGATGCGACAAGTTGTCGGTTAGTTAGATTAATTTCAAAAAAATAAATAAACATAAAAATCTTACTTGGTAAACTTAACATAGCTGGTTCACTTTCAAGTAAACCATAACGAGTTGAAACAACACAAGCATAAGCACCCGGTTGTGTATATGCAGTGTCACCAAATTGAAATATTCGTAATTCATTATCATGCATTTCAATTATCGATGGATTCAATTCAATACGTTGTCCAACATGAGTCCAATAAGCAACGGATACAAATGGTGTATCACTACTTTCACATAATAATCGTACTTCAGATGATGATGATATTACAGCTGATTGTGGATATACACGTACTTGTGGTAAACCATCTAGATTTTATTGAATGAAAATTTTAATAAATAATTTATTTTCTTTTTACTTACCAATAGTATTTAAATAAAAAATGAATACGATAATATAGATTAATTTCATTGTTCATAGTACATTATAATGAAATAAAACAAAAACAAAGACATCTACAATTAATGAAACCATATGATGTAAGACATACAGAGTAACAAAATATATGAAATAGAAATCTTCATTAATACACATGGACGCATCAATTGTTCATACAAATGAGCATTCAAACAGTAAGAATAATAACAATACTAACCCCTATCCTTAGTTTTAATGAGATCAGGTTGAACGAGAACTGACCGCCTATCGTCAGCTGTTCATTCATTCAGTCTTTATATATATATATATATAAGAAAAATAAAAAGACACAGACGGCGTGTAAAAGTAGATGAGGGGTGTTATTGTTGATAGTCGGGGGCATATTTTGTATGTAATTACAAGAGTACTAGACAATGGAGATGATCATGATGGAAGCATCTTTAAGTAGAAAAAAAGAAGAATTAAGACAAGCCGAAAAGAAGAAGAAAGGTGTCTACTGTCGACATTGCTCAAACACGAAGAACGAAAGAGAACGCGAAAGAATTCAATAAGTCATCATCATTTTTTTCTTGACAAAGCATATTTCTTTCTTCTCTCTCTCTCGTTCGCTCGTTTCTCTTCAAAAGATTGTTCATCTGTCAGCAAGCTGCTTCTCTTTTGCTTTCTTTTTCCTTTTCTTCTATCCTTCTTCTCCTTTCTCTCGTACAATTTGTTTTAGCATTTCCGCTTATACCCTCTTGGTCGTCTCATTTCATACGGACGACATGCAAAGGTGAACAAAAATAGTAACTCCACCCCTATCGTCACAACAGCAGCACATCATCATTTTTAGTTAGAATGCGACATATATATATATGAAAGGAAAAAAAAGAAGAAGAGAACTACACAAGAAAAACGTCAATTGGGAATTACGTGTCGATGTCTCGGTTGAATATGCCTTATGAATAAATAAGCAAAAAGAAGAAGAAGCAGAAGAAGAACGTTTCTACGATCAATAAAATTAGACAAACAAGGAAGAAATGTTTCGCACTTACTCTTTCTTTTTTTTTTATTATTTTTCTTCTCTTCATGTCGAAATACGATGGACAAATAAACTGTCTTTTTTGTTTTTGAGTAGATACATGAAAGTCGCCATAGTAAACACCTCAAATGAATGAACTTTCAAGGCAAATAAATCATTTTTACCGACGCCGATCTTCATCTCATTGTACACACATATATATATCAAATAGAAAACACAGAAACAAAAAAGAAAAAGAAGAACGAGAACGAGCGATGCGATCACTCCTTGTGCTTCAAATAAAATGTATTTATATATGCTAAGATTACTATCAATCTTCAATAGACATGCAATTGAACAGTTCATATATGTCCAGAAAAAAAGAAAAATCAGATGTGCTATATAGTCAATCATTAAATGAAATACGTTAGCGGTCTCCTATATATATATAGACATAGAAAAAAGATAAAAACAGTTCAAGCATATTACCGACAAACGTTCAGTATTTTGTTTTCTTTGTACACTATTAATCGGACATCGAAATTTCAATTAATTTTGTCCTACTGTATCATTTTTTTTTCTAAGAAGAGAATAAATGAGTCATATCCAATTTGATAAAGTTTTTCTGAGATTGAACACATGCACATCCGCTCGTTAAAGATAATGGTTGGTGACCTTCATGTTATCAATAATATCCTCATCTACTTTTCTCACTCTTCGACAAAACTCTTTCGTCATGTATATATAAGAGTGTGTGAACATTATATATATATCAACAAAACATCCATAGATAGATGGAAGAGTCTAATCAACAATATCAACGAGTATTCGTATATGTTGTTTATAGTTAAAAGATAGATAGAATGATAGATACTCACTCGTTTCGCTTAGTGAAATAGTGGTTTAGATTGAGATTTTTATCGTTAGAAAAAAAGAACATATGTTTTTTTTTTGCAATATGAGGTTGATTATAATAATGATCACGATGATGCGTAATCATCAACAAATTGCACGAACGATTGATCGCTAGACATATATATTCGATGCACTGCTTTTATTACTACTACCACTATTATTTGTGTGTCGCAATCACAACTACTCGTTGTTGTTGACCACCGCCTTCAATCAATCTGGACAGAAGGTAGCCATTAGACGATAGAGAGAATGAGTTGCATTCTCTTCAATTGAGTGGACACGTCGATGGTTTTATTGAAATCGACAAGCAGCCAGCGGTACGAAGAGTAAAAGAAGGAGAAGAAGAAAAATGATGATGAACAAGTCCTTCATGTCTTGATGTGTTTGTGTGCGTTGACCTGTTTTGACGATGCACTGACAGAAACGGCGGGAGAAAAAGAAAAAAAAATCGCTCACTCACACACTCTCCGATCAGTGTCGCTTCCGCACGTATGGTTGAACGCAGACATCTATAAAAAGAAAAAAAGACGAGAAAGAACTGAAGAGCAAAAAAAAGGAACATAGTGTTCTTCTTGCTTTATTGCTCAAACGATCAAGCAATCGATCGGCAATGGCTTATCTTCTAGTCATTTTTTTCATCTTCCTCAATCTAAGTAACGGATATAAAAAGAAAAACAGAACAGAAAAAAAATCTAAGTAGATGAACAAGTCAGAATCAACTTATAGAACAGTTAGATTGTCAAAAAGAAAAAAAAAAGAAAACTGTTCGATTAAAAATCTTCTTACACGACCGAGATTATAAATATAATACATATGTGATCATGTAAAGATTTCCTTGAAAATGATTAAATATTTTACTTGACAATATAGGTACTACTTTCTTTTGTTACACTCAAGGTTTAAGAATATATGTTATATACATTAAACGAATATATACTCTCATTCTATTGACATATGTACAATCGGTGTGAAAAACGATTTGTTTTATAGGGGAAAATTTTAACATATTCTATCGAACAAATTTATTTTTCTAATCTAAAAGAACAACAAAACTGACATAAACACAAATCTAGAATGACAGATATCATTGCATAATCGAACAAAATGCTTGCTGCTAACTGGTATGTTCCCTATACTCAACCATTCGTCATCCCCTAAAAAAAGGAATTTCCTCTATGAGCGCAAATGTCACCACTCTTTTCTTCTCTCTGTATATTCAACTATAAAAAAAAGGAAATAAAAGATTGCGTCGTGTCAAAAAAGAAAGTAACGAACGATTATTAAAAATTGTATTTAGTTGTAAATGATGTAAGTTGTCAATTAAAACATACGAATATACAAGAAAAAGGTGATATGCCAAAAAAAGAAAAAAAGAATAGAAATTTCTGATGTTTCGAATGTATATACACACACATATGGATAATCGGATGAACGCTATTTATGTCCATTTATATGTATATGTATGACGTAAGAATAGAAGAAAAGATATGGGTATAGTTTAATCCAAAGAGAGAGAGAGAAAAAAAGAGAAAGATTTAGCGAACAAACAAATAAACAATGCATTTATTCATAAATAAATAGGCATAAAATCCATAACGTAAGCAAGATGTGTTATTCAAGGTTGTTTTCTTTTTTTGTTGTTGTGAAAATACAACAATAGACATTTCCACCCCCTGCAGGTCACATTCCGTTTATATTAACAGCAAAAGTAAATCACCATGATTCTCAAGTCCTATTAACTCTATAACATATGATGACGGGAAACGTTCAGCTGTCGTATTTTACAATGATCAATGAGAATATTTGTCGCTTTCTCATACCTTTATTCGTACATTTGATATCGATTTACACGTATATATATATATATATATAGACAATAGGCATGGATAGAGAAAGAAATTAGTCTACTTCAAGGTTATTTCAAGTGGACACACATACGCACACACGTTTCTTGATCGCCAGATTGTATTGTCACTCTTAAAAAAACAGATTTTTTTCAAGTGATTAAACAAGAAAAATGTTTTCCGTCATTTTATTTGAACATCAAATGAATTTAGAATAAGTCTTACAGGTGTTTGTTCTATTTAACTTTCATGAAATTGAGTTTCGAAAAAAGAAAAATAATATATTTTTTATTTCTATGAGAAGTTCAATCGGTCATTTATAAAGTTCTTACCTTTCAATGATCGAACATTGATCCTATCAATTTTCTATTCACATTTAAATAATCAACAGATCTCTATATATTACTTTGCTTGCTCTTTTTTTTTTTCTTCTTTCTTTTTTCTTCTTCCTCATTCAATCCTTGCGGTTATTTACTTTGTGAACAAGACAGAAGGCAGGGCACGGCTCAAACACTGAATAAGGAAGACTATAACAATAACAATAAAAAAGGAACGTGAATGAATGTATATACATATATATATATATACGTATGTGTGTGCGCGCGTTAGTAGGCGGGCATGCAGGCAGAAAATGATAATCGGGAAGGGGTGGGTGAACTTTTCTTCGTGTTCACTATAGCTGGTAGCAGCATACGAATACAACAGACCATTATGAAATATATGGTGCGTGCGCTTGTTACATTGCCAATAACTTGAAATTTTACGAAATAGAAGAGAAAGAAAGAATGTTGATGTATAATAGTGAATGTATTATGTATTTTAATCTTCTTAAGAAAAAAATGGAATTATAATCTAAATGATACCTTCTTCTTTATGTTTCTAATACTTCAATAGAGAGGAAGAAGAAAAAAAAGAAAAAGTCATTGTACACACCTTGTCAAGGACTTATTTCTTTTAGATGGATGATAAAATATAGTAAAAGAAATCATTGTCCGAGATGGCATACTTCCGTACTTGATTCTAGTCATTTTCTTTCTTTTATTTAGTAAAGTATGTTTCATCGTGAATGACCAACAATATTGGACAATATAAAAAGGGGAAGTATTCTTTTCTCTGGTCAATGTAAAAGTGTATGTTTTAAAATGATACCCACAGGCTATTATAATTATGTCATCGGTGATAGATTGAATACAAGAGAGAGAGAGACACACGCACAAGAAGAAAATCTCTATTCTCTCTAGATCTTTCTGATGGAGACAATGCATGCTGAGATG